GGGAAATCTCATGACAGATCTCATTGTTCACCATTTAGAAATCAACATTTTCCCGGGAAGAACTCGAACATCCCTTTCCCTGGGTTCATTGATTCATTATAATAATTTTCAAGAGGGGAACACCTTGAATTTTGAAGAACTAAAAAGTAATTAAGTTCTTCAAAATTCAAGGTTTTCCACTCTTGAAAACTTTCAGATAATTTTTTCCCATTGTTATTACAGTAAATAGGCCTTATGTGTGTATACATACATAAAAAAAGATTGAGTAAGTTGCATACGTAGTTTTTCCATGAAATCGATAAATCCCAAAAAGAGTGGGGGTGGGGAGGTCCTGTGGTTCTTCCCCGGGAAAATTTTGATTCCTAGATGGCGGGAAATGAGCTTTCCCCGACTTTTGTGGTGTCTTTTAATGACTTTTAAATTCTTCAAAATTCAAGGTTCGCCCCCCCCCCCCTGAAAATGATTCAATTAATCAATGAACTCCAAAGATAAAGGGTCCGGGTTCCCCGGAAAAATTTCGATTTCTAGATGGCAGGAGATGAGCTTACCTGACTTCTGAAATGTCTTTTAATGACTTTTAAAGTTCTTCAAAATTCAAGGTTTTCCCCTCTTTAAAAAGGTCAGGTAAATTTTTCTCATTTTTTATTTTCTGTGTGTATACATACATAAACAAATGAGTAGTTGCATGCGTAATTTTTTTTCCATGAATCGATAAATCCCAAAAAGAAAAGGTGTTCCGGGGGTTCTCCCCCGGGAAAATTTTAATTCCTAGATGGCGGGAATTGAGCTTTCCCGACATTTGAAGTGTGTTTTAATAAATTTTATGTTCTTCAAAATTCTAATTTTCTAATAGCAAAAAAAAAAAAAATCAGCTCACGGTCCTGAAACTGTCTCTTATACACATCTAGATGTGTATAAGAGACAGTTTTTGTTGCACAAGGGAGGGGTCAGGACCCATGATCCCCTCCTCCCAGATCCGCCAATGTGAATTGCGAGAAAATGTAACTCGGTCGGGTACTGGATAAACATTCTCTTTCCCATCCTTCTCCTTCCCTCCTTCTTTTTTTGCATTTCCGATCATACAAAGTTCTCCAGACATTATATATTTTTCGCCAAAAAGTGGGGGGGGAGCCCGGGCCCCCACGGCCCCCCCCCGGTTCCGCCGCCCATGCACCATACAATATAAAGAATGACATACAATACGGTAAATAGACAAGTTTTCATAAACGTCTAATCAAAAAAACTTCACGCTGCAAAATCTGGCAATTTCTTACTGATTGCAAAATGGCAGCCGCTCGTCCTACTAGCAAACAGATTCGCTGTACTTATTTGTTGAAAAAGGTACTTTGTGAGTGGTTAAATCATGTGAACATGTTTTTTAATTATATGTTGTGACTGTGAGAAGAACATTGAGGTAAAAACTTTAAGAATTAAAAGTTAGGTGCGAAAGTGCATTAGCGCCGAATATGCCTAGCCTGGCTAGCTAGGGCTACCCTGTAAGTCTAAGGCCTAATGACTAGCTAGTAGTGAGTTTGAGCAGGAGGCTTATAATATTAATAACATAGGCTATAGGCCTAGGCCTAGGTCTTTAGCTACAGTAGGCATTGCAAAGTTGTCCCATGTAAGCCATCAGCACACTGACCTCTATTAATTATTGCTAAATGATAAAACTAATGAATCAAATCGATGAAAATGAATCAATGACGTGATTTGAAGAATACAACCAATATTCAATAAAACCGAGCATAGGCCTACAGTAAAATGTCAGCCTCCACCGCAATCCAGTCTGAGCCAAGATGGTAGTGGCTATCGGCACTGCCGCAGTGCCAATTTGGCACTGCCGCAGTGCCGATTTGGCACTGCCGCAGTGCCAAAAAAAGCTGCTGTTTTCTATCGGCACTGCCGCAGTGCCAAAAAGCTGCCGTTTTCTATCGGCACTGCCGCAGTGCCAAAAAGTTGCTGTTTTCTAACGGCACTGCCATGCGAAAAGCTGCTGTTAATTAATCGAATCGATGTTTTTATCGATAGATGACATTGGTATAATTCATAATTCATAATTTTATTTCACTCAAAACGTAATGAGACTGGTTAGGCAAAAACATGTCCCTGTATAAGATGCCTTCCAGAGAAAAAATGATAATGTTAATGGCAAAGACATAATAATAATAATAATAATAATAATAATAATAATAATAATACAGATAATAATAATAATAATAAATAAATAATAATAAAAAGGAAATGATAATAATAATAATAATGAATGAAGATGAAAATCATGAAGGTGTTGTATTAATGATGTTCTAAATATTTGCCTTTATTATATCAATAAATGATTAGGTCTAGCTTAGCCTATATTATTGTTAACATTATATTATATTTGTTTAACAATTAGTTTAGATAATTATTTCTAATTAAATTGATAAATGTATACAATATATATTATATAGGCCTAGGCATACATAAAACAAAAAATAAACAAACAATAATAATAATAATAATAATAATAATAATAATAATAATTTTACGATAGTTTGATTAATGAAATAGTAATAATCAGCATACTGTATTAAATAAAATTACGTCCATGCAAAACCTGCTTTTAAATAAAAACATTATCTATTTGATTCTGTTTTAAAAAATAAAATAATCTTATAAATTCGTTGCATGATTCTTGTATTTATTATTTAAAACATATTAAATAAATTGTAGTTATATGGTCACAATGTTTATATCAATCTATTAATTAATTAGTAATTAACTAATTTAAAATATTAATTAAGATTATATTAATTAAGATATTCGTAAAGTTCTTGTGCAGTTTATTTATACGGCTCGACGGATATTCTAGACCTCTAGGCTATAATTGAGATAGGTGCCACTTGGAGAGGTAGAAATTCTCATATGGTTTTTCTGGACCAGTTTTTTATGGGGAATCAGAATATGTGAGGTAAAAGGGGTGTAACCTGAGAACTTTCGCGTGAGGGCGCTTTTTCAAAATGGCCGCCAAAATCCAATAAATATCATATATATGGGTAAAATAAGCACAGAAGAGGTAGGTTTGACCAACTTTTGAATATTTAATGATAAGAGTAAAGTATAACTAGCTAAAGTTATTAATGTGAAGATTTCGGGAGGCAATTGAGGGCGCTTTTTAAAATGGCCGCCAAAATTAAATAACAACTTAGCAGATTCAATACCCTAGATAAATTTGTTTAATTTACAAAACATGAATGTAATAACTGCTGTTGACTTTTTAAACCTAATAAGCCTACAACATATTTTAGGGGTGTAAGCTAACTCACTTTTGAAAATGTAAGTAAAATTTCCCCCTTATATTAGCCCTTTTCTGTTTTAAAGAATGGAAAATATCACCAGAATCTTAAAAAAATTCCAGCTTCCTTACAAATATCCGGTTGTTTTTCACTATTTCTGTGTGCTATACAAGGCATTCCAGACAACTACCACAATTTTCATGTATGAAGAAGGCATCAATTCATTTACTACATATTTGTCTTGTAGTGTTTAACTATGTTGAGCAATAATCTTCAGGTATCACCTTTATCACTGCAATCTGAAAGTCTTCGTATATCGTATGAACAATTCTTGGACTTCCACGGGAATTTGTTTATTCCGTCTGTTCCATCAACTATTTTTATTGACAGTCATTTACCTCTGCTTATTTTCATTCTTGAACGATTAAGTTTGCTAAGTATCTGAAGCTTGAGATTCTGCTAACATGGTGGCAACAATGATATGTCAGTGATCATGTCTCTGCAAAACTTTCTATTGAACATGTTACTTGCTTGATTTACACTTTTCTCCTTAACTCCAAGCAGCAGTAAGACATACTCCTGTTCTTCGGACAACTTTTGTGACAGAACATCTAAAACTCCAAAGTTGCTGAAAGTTTCAACAAACTCAGTTTGTGATTACAGAAGCTACGTTTTCCTTTACGAAAGAAAGCCGGGGTGTAATTGTCTGTAATATCGATGTCTCGAGAAAGGGAACGGATGATTGCTATGCCTTGGTTGTTATTCGTTAAAGCATGCTTTGCATTAGACTTGCCACAAGTCTCTAATTTATGGATTTTTCGTAGTACATTAGCGCATTTCGGAAAGCGCCACCAGCGTCAGTTTATGTTGAGAAACTTTTTTGATGAGAATTAGAGACTTGTAAAAGAGTGAGTCAAATCGAATGCAGACCGCTGGCCGTGACAAGCATGACGTAATTTTTAGGATGCCGTATTTGGCAATAGGGTGAATGT